ATTTATATGGGGAAAAGGTGAATTTATGGCTAAATACATTAAGACTAAAAAACAAAAGTGCAGTGTAATAAAAAAAAATAGAAGGCAAAATGCTTTTCTGTTGTAATTATCTTTGTACCAGATAGTACAACATCAACATTCAGAGAGCAAAATCCAAGGAGAAATAAGAAACAGAAACACATTAGTGAGGATAATTTACTTAAAAAAAAAAATCCCCTAATAGATCAAGGAGAAAAATAAATGATCCAAATCCCATGGGAGATGATCAGCACTTGTTAAAGGAGACTAAGTTGTGCTACTTCAGATAGAGACCAAGATCTCAGACTAAAGAAGTAGGGGGAGGGGAAGACTGGGACTTTTACAGAGAAGAAACTTCAAGGTAAATATATTCTCTTAGGAACAGGAGCTATTTTAACTAATGTGTTTATGAAAGGGAAGAACAATTAATTCAGTGTTGGAAATTTGATTTGTTTTTAAATAAAATAAAATGATATTATAGCATATTGAAAGCTTACAGATAAAACAATTTAGTATTGTTTTGCAAATATGTATACAAAGCTTACAGATGAAAAGTGCAGTACTGTTTTACAGAGGTGAACACTAGACACAGACATGGGAATGTCCTGCGGGAAAAGATGGGGTTTCAAACGGGAAGGGAAGAGAGGTTTTTTCTTTCTTATTACGTGTTGTTCTGAGTGGTAGGTCATTTGGAAAAAACCAAAAACAATCCTAAAACCATCTCCCTACCTCATGCCTTATGTAAAATGAATTACAAGAGACTGAATTTTATATTCTTTAAAAACTTACAGGTTACTGCAACAAAACAGAGTAATTTTTTAAAATTTGAAACAAAGTTGGATTCTTATTCACACCATTCGCCAAGATAAATTTTGAATGGATATAAGATTTAAATGTAGGAAAACAAAGCTATAAATGTATTGGAAGGAAATAGTGATGAGTTCCTCTGTAAACTTGTCAGAAGGCAGGCTTTCTAATGCTAACTCACAACACAGAAGCCATAAAAGGAAAAAATATGTTAAACTGAATGTAATTTTTTTGTAAAAAAAATAAGGTGGTGTACTAAGTGAAAAAAGAGAAACCACAAGTTCTAGAAAAGATAAATAAGGGGCTAATCCTAACATCCAGGAAGAATCCGACTACCTTATGGATAAACGTGCATGGACCCTTAACAGTGTTTTATGTACAATTTTTAAAAATATACTGATAAGGGAGTATCTCTATATTTTAGGTAGAATTTTTTTGTGCAAACTGAGAAAAAAATAAGAATCTAAAGAACTTCTAGAAGTGAACAAACATGTTTATGTGGTGCGGGCTGGATAGAGGGCGGCGGGGGGCCCTGTGTACCTGCTCGTGCTTTTTTATATTTTCAGTATAAAATCTAATTTGTAGATTACCTGTCTACAAATGAAAAAGAGAAAAAGGAACCTGTACTTGTCTGGTGAAGAGACCCAGGCACACGGAGACTCAGAAATCACCCAGGACCCCCTGGTTGGGGGAAGTGTTTGGAGAGTCCTGAGCCAGCTCGTGCTACTGGAGACAAAACGCCAGATTATGAAGAGCAGGTTTTAAACTTCACCTGAGGCCTGTTACCTAATTAGTAGCCAGGATTTTCATTTCGCATCTGGAGCAGGGAGTCAGATGGCTTCTCCCTGCCTCCGGCTCTAGGCCACTGGTCCCCTGGCCTCCTGGCTTTCCCCAGAAG